GTTACCATTATTAGATCGCCTGCTGGAGAGACAAATGAATTTCCTATCACTGTAGGGTTACACCAAGGATCTACCTTAAGTCCTTATCTTTTTGCTTTAGTTATGGATAAGTTGACGAGAAATATTCAGGATGACGTGCCGCAGACGATATTGTGCTAGTGGATGAGACTAGAGAAGGAATTAACACAACGTTGGAGATTTGGAGAAAAGCTATTGAATCTAAAGGATTCTGGATAAGCAGAACTAAGACAGAATACATAGAGCGTAAATTTAGTAACAGTAATAGTAACAATGAAAGCAGAGGAGAAGTGAAGATTGAGAACCAAGAACTGCCTAAGAGTGAACATTTTCGTTATTTAGAGTCAATCACCACAACAATAGGGGAGATTGATGCGGATGTGGCCTAAAGGATTAAGACGGGATGGTGTAAGTGGAGAAGTGCGTCTGGAGTACTGTGCGACAAACGAATATTCACTAGACTAAAAGGTAAATTCTATAGAACGACTATTAGACTAGCGATGTTGTATGGGACGAAGTGTTGGGCAACCAAGAAACAACATGTAGATAAGATGAGTGTGGCTGAGATGCGGATGCTAAAGTGGATGTGTGGCAAAACTAGACAAGACATAACAGAATTAGGAATGAGTGTATTTGAAAATGGGTAGAAGTAGCACCGATAGAAGATAAGTTGAGAGAGAATCGATTGAGATGGTTTGGTCACATTCAACAGAGACCAACAGAGGCAGTAGTGAAGAGGTACGATACTGTAACGGTATATGGGAGTGTTAGGAAACAGAGTAGGCCTAGATTAACGTTGGCTAGCGTCGTAAATAGAGATATGGATCTATTTAATTTGACTAACGAAATGGCCTTTGATAGGGCTGCGTGAAGAAGAAGGATTCATGTAGCCGACCCCATTTGATAGGACTTACGACTTGATTTGGTTTGGTTTGGTTTGGTTTGGTTTGGTTTGGTATATTTTACAAACCATAGTTTAATTTTAAAAACATGCTAAGCATAAAACTAAAAATAAAAAAGAAGTCTAGTGAAAAGAGTTTTATCTTTGTTGTAGAAGAAAATATTGTTTCAACTGAGATACAGTACGGCTTGGATATATAATAGGTACGTTTGGGTATGCCAAAAATTAAGGAAAAAAAATTTAGATACGTCTTTCATGTACCCAGTATCAATGTAGAAGTACCATACGAAGTACCATGCGAGGTACTATACGCCGGTAAATATACGGCATGTTTTTCGAAGTATCCATGCTTCATAACTGTTATTAAAATAAATCTCTAATTAGTTCCAAAATTGGCCTCAGATAACAATTGTACTTTGGATTCTTCTCATTTCATCATCCAGGACAAACCAATGAAGAAAGTTCTCTTTAGAAGTCCTCATCATCAAGATTTTTATCAAATATAATCTCACAATTCAGCCATCTCTCATTTGGCTTTTGCTTGTCAGCAACTCAGTCCCGCAGTCTGGCATCAAAGACTAGGTCATCTGTCCATGGAGAAGTATCAACTCTTACCTCAGCAACTCAAGCTTCGCATCATCAAGAACACTTCATCACCTTCCATGCATCCTTAGTGTTCTGTCTCTAAAAGTCACAAGCTTCCTTTTGCCTTGTCAAACACTACTGTAAATAAGCCTTTGGCTCTCATACACACTGATGTATGGGCATCTTTTTCTCCCAACTCTAATTCTAAATACAAGTACTACTTTTTGTTTTATTGATAATTTTTCTATATTCACTTGGGTACCTTTACATTAAGTGACGTGTTTAACAAATTTCTAGAACTAAAAAATTATGCTGAAAATCAGTTTGGCACATCACTTAAAATTAGGACACGTAACAACAACGATCGCGGTGTACCAGTATCAAGAGTATCGAACGATACGTATCGGGAATCAAGTGATACTGTCGTGAGATTTTTAAAAACATTAGCAATCCTCCAAAACTCAATGATAGACATTTTTTTGTCTATTTTAATCTGAATTTGTCATAGTTTATTGTATGAATAAATAAAATTATTTAACCACATTGCATCAATTAGTTGTTATCAAAATTTAAGATTAAAAAAAATCACAATAATATGTTGCCAACAAACTGCTTCAATTAGTTCCTGACTTATTAGTTTTTAGTCACTATGAAAACAAAAAGGGCTCAGTCCCACATCGAAAGAGGAACAAGAGGCTCCATTGCTTTAAATTTTTACTTATCTCCCACATCAGAAAACTATTAAAGCAATGAGTTGTCTAATGGCTTTAAATAGCCTCTTCAATTCCTGCTTAACTTGAACCTTGACTAGCCCTCTCTATGGTGCTAGCCAGCTGCTTTCACGCAAGGCAACTAAAAGGAAGTTCAATTTTTTTTCCAAACCGGACCAGTTTGTTCATTTATCGGTCACAAAATCCAATTTTCCCTGGTTTGTATCAAGAATGAACCGGTTTGTAGATGATTTTGGTTCACACCATTATATTGGTCAATATTCAAATCGGAGGCATCAAAAACCTGCTCGAATCAGCTCGTATTTAGAACTATGCTCTCTCTCTCTCTCTCAGATCCCCTTATTTGCATCTCCCTCTCTATCACCACGACAGGCAATCTGCCCCCCACCCCCACTGTCAACCATGGCGGTAAGCTCTTTGACTAGTGTGCTAGTCTGGATTGATTTAAGAAAATAGATTTTTCCAACTTTTATAATTCAATCTTTAGTGGGTTGTATTTGATTTTAGTTAGGCATCAAAAATGTATAGAGCAATTTGTTCAAATCGCCAAGTTGATATAGATAAAAACATCCAACCAACTAGTCAATTTTGAGTTTGTGCAAGTCGGCGGTAGGTAGGAATTTTTTCACACCACCTGATGCAATTCGGTTGAATTTTTTACCCCAAACTGCCGCCACCCAACACGTGCACGCCCCTATAATAAACAAACTTTCCAGTTATGTCTTGAAGAACCTTACAACTATTGAGAAATTGTTCAAACAAAAACCTAATTACTAAATGTTAAGAGCTTTTGGGTGTAACTCTTATCCATGGCTTAGACCTTATACCACTCACAAGCTTGAACCAAAATCTGTTACATGTGTTTTTCTAGGGTATCATCCAATTATTAAACGTTATAGTTGCTTGGACCCAAAGTCAAAAAGAATTTTCGTCTCTAGGTTCAATTTGATGAGACTCACCTTCCCTTTTGCTCAAGCTTCTACTCCTTCATCCTCTGCTAAACCACTTGTCTCCCTCACTTGATTCCTCCTTTCACAATCCTTCACCACAAAATTATTCTTGGTACTACCTACCTTCACTCGGTGTTTACCAGAAAACAACACCTCTATAACTACTTGACAACAATCTGAAAATAAAGACACACCACTCCAATCCTCATAACATAGTTCACCATCAACTACTTTCCTCACTCAATCTTTATATCATTCACCCTCATTCCTTCATAATACAAAAAACATACGCTCAGTTCCAATACCTTATTTTTCAACCAAAACTCCAATTGTTCCAAACTTTCACCCAATGCAGAGCAAGACAAATCAGAAATCTTCAAACCGAAACACCTTTTGTGCCTTTCCTCATCTACCCAAGCCACTACAGAACCAACTTCTTTTCAAGAGGCAAAGTTTTCACAATAGTGGTGCCAGGCAATGAAAGAAGAATTTCAAGCTTTACAAAATCAAAAGAGTTGGGCTCTAGTGCCAAAGCCGATTCACAAGACAGCAATTGGCTGCAAATTAATTAATAGCGAGGTATAAGGCAAGGCTTGTAGCTAAAGGCTACCATCAAGAAGAGGGGATTGATTACCATGACATATTTAGCCAAGCAACCAACCATTAGAATTGTCTTGTCTCTAGCCTTGAACCTCAATTGGCCTCTTAAACAGCTTGATATATCCAATGCCTTCCTCCATGAAAAAATAGAACAAGATATATACACGGATCAACCTCCAAGATTTGAAGATAAAAGCCATCCAAATCATGTTTGCAAGCTTAATAAAGCTCTCAATGGCCTTAAACAGGCATCAAGAGCCTAGTTTTCTACCTTCTTTGGCTTTTTAGACACTCAAGTGTTTGTACCAAGTCATGCAGACAACTCTCTTTTTGTCCAAAAAAACTAAGTCAGACATCGGCATCCTACTAGTTAATGTACATTCTGTTAAACAGAAGTGATGCATCATGCATTCAACAGTTGATCACTCAAATGCATGAATCTCTCTATGCAGCAACTTGGGGATGCCAAATACTTCCTTGGCATCTCTGTTACAAGAACTGAGCTTGGTTATTTCTCTCGCAAACACAATATGCTACTTTTTTTTCTTTTCCTCTTTTTTTTTCAGAAAAATAATAATAAAAGGAAAGAGAGAGATAGAGAGAGAGAGAGAGAGAGAGAGAGAGAGAGAGGCTGGAATGAGTGAATTTGAACCTTACACCACTCCTATGAGAGCAACCCTCTATCCTCAATGCAGTCCCGACCCGACTATTTTTGCATTCAGATGTCTTCTTCTTACGGTCTTACCAAGCTACAAAGTTGACTTGTTTAAAGCTAATATAGTCAAAGAAAAACTTTCAAACAAATAATTTCTGAACCGTTCATTACATCCAGTGGCAATTAGAAAACTTAAATGGAAGCAAATTAGCGAAAGTGTATAGTAATTTCATATCAAGACCATGGGACTTTTATTACTCCCAAACAGACCTCTGTATTAGACCAATTTCTATACACCAAAACTTGCATCGATGTACACTGAAACAATGACATCGAACACAAACAGATAATTAATCCTATAAAGTTTTACTCATCATCAATTTTGATAACAATAACAATAAAAATTGCAAAACCCAGATCATGAAAAATCGAGAATCGCTTTTTGAACAAATCCCAAAACCTAATTGCAATTAAACATTGTATCATCGAAATAAAAACTCAGATCTTGCAAAGTAAAGCAATCAAAATGAAATGTGGGTTCTGAGACAGAGAGAGAGGACCTCGAGTTGGGCAGATTTCATGGCGATGGGGATGCAGACGAGGAAGATACCAGCCATGGCGATGGCAGTGTTGCGCTTCCAGTGCTTGGGTCTGCAGTAGGGACCACCAGTCATGCTCCATACTTTGTTTCTGAAGTCTCCGCCGTGTGCTGCATCTCCGTGGTGTCCGTGATCTCCTCCTCCTCCACCCATCTTCGCTTTCTCTCTCCTTTCTTCTTCGTCTACGATTCCCCCAACTACAGAACACAGAGTAAGAGAGCCACTCTGATAGATGATGACGAAACACTGTTTCGGAAAAAGCCCTAATTCATCTGTTTTTTTTTTTTTTTAAAGTGGAAACATTGAAAAATAATCACCAATTAACCATTAATGATAAATTTTATTAATATTAATAATTAAATTATAAACTTATTCTATTAATATTAATAATTAAATTATAAACTTATTCTTACATATGTGATAATTAATAGGTGATATGTAGGAAAATTTATTTTTAAAATAAAAAATTAATTTTAAATCTAATACTTTGTGTAAAAAGTTTTAATAATTGAAAATTAAATATAAATAGATTTATTAATGATTGATGAAAATTTTTATAATTGTGTATATGATCTTATATAAAAGGTTCATAAAAATAATTTCTTTCAAAATTAAAAAAATGTATATTCTCCACCTGAAATAAAATCTTTATTTGTATTAATCAAATTTATCAAAAAGGGTAAATTACAAATATACCTCTTGAGATTTACTTAAAATACGAATTGTCCTCTGTGACTTGAAAAATTACAAATATCTCATTGTCATAATTTTTTATTTAACAGAATTAATTATAGAAGTAAAATTTCTAACTGTTCATCTATACGATAATAAAATTATCTTAATTATTAATTGAAATAAAATTTTAACATTATTAAAAACTGTTAATTAACTTGATGATTTATTAATAAAATGACTTATTTGATATGAAATTAGAACTTTAGGGGGCATAATGTAATTTCTAAAATCACATAGATAATTTGTAATTTAAGTAAATCTCATGAGGTGTGTTTGTAATTTACCCTATCAAAAATTATGAATTTCATAGTATCAGAATATTTTTTTTCAAAAAAAAAATAAAAGCAACAAAAAATTCTATAATATACAAATTATGACTTGATTATAACTCATGGTGCATTATTTTGGTTATTAATCGAAAATGTCTTTGCTAATATCTTATATTTTTGGTTATGTCTAAAGTGGTGCACTGAATCTTTGATTATATTTCAAGTAATGTTTAATTATGATATATTATAATCTATATAATAATGGAAGAGGATTTTTGAATTTATCCTAGAGACAATTGTCCTACTAGGACATTTTAATGGTCAAGATTCATTTATGATTGAAGATGGACAGTAGAGATGAAAACTTTCTCACTCACTCTACCTGAACTTCCCGCCCAAGAGCCACAAACTTTGCAATCACCAATCCTCATCTGTTGCACCTCACTTTTCCAAATTTCAAATTTCAAAACATACGCATTCACTCCTTATAAAAGAGAGACCCACGCTTATCAAACTCGCTCATCTTTCATCTCTGCCCAAATCCTCCCTCTTTATTATTTCAGAGAAATCCTCCCTTTTTCATACGCCCTTCTCTCTCTCCCTCTCCTCTCACGACGACATCGCCACTCACCGACTACCGACCAACTCTCCTCGCCTCTTGTTGTCATCTCTCCTCTCGACCACCGACCACCGACTCTCTTCTCTCACCCTCCTATTTCGCCTCTCTTCTCTTGAGATGACATCGCAACCATTTAGAGGTAAACGACATCCTTCCTCTTGGATTTGGGTTACAGTATTTTTGGTTCTTACTTGAGTTTGGTGATGGGTTTGATATGTTCTTTTGGGAAATGGGTTTCAGAATTTTAGTGTTTGTTTTTGAATTATTTTTCATATGGGTTATAGAATTGAGGGTTATAGGGCGGAACATTGATTGGAGGAGAATTGAGGGTTATAGGGAGGAACATTGATTATTATGTATGTTTGATGAGTTTTGTGGTGTGAAATTTCAGAATCTTGGGGTCCGAAATGAGCACCCAAAAGCCGACTGTGACGGTTTGGTACCTGGCTGGGGAAGCCAACAAGCGGATTGTTTATCTGATCATATGCGTGGTTGGGTTGTCTTATCTCATGTCCTGTAAGTTCTGGGTTTTTTTGTTTCATTGAATATTGTTGCAGATTCATTATACTTTTTATTGATTAATGGTGAAGATTCATCTTTTAAAATTGGTTCAATTGGGTTATTTATTCTGGATTTTGAATTTGATTATCGTGTTCATTTGGTTCATGATAATTTATTTCAAACTTTCAGTGTTTGTTTTTGAGTTATTTTTCATATGGGTTATAGAATTGAGGATTATAGGGAGGAACATTGATTGGAAGAGAATTGAGGGTTAGAAATTCTATTGATTTCTATTTCTACATCTGGGAATAGATAGCATTGAAAATTTTACATCACTCTCATACATATGTACGTACGTACATACATTCATCTATACATACAAATATAATAATATGGTGGAGAATTGGATAGAGAGAGAGAGAGAGAGAGAGAGAGAGAGAACCATGAGGTTTTATATGTAAAGTGGGTTTTTGAATTGGGTTGGTTTGTATGGTAAGAGCAGTTGAGTGTATTTGAAGTTTCATAAACTTTTGATTAATCAAAGCAGAGTACTTCCTTAATAATCAGATTTTAAGAACTCAAAGATTTCTGAGCATTTTAGATGGATCTTTCCCTGATTAGTGGTTAATTATATCCATTATGACATGGATGAGTTTTGTAAATTGGTGCTAACATTTACCCACAAATAAGGCATGTATCTTTCCTTAGTATGATGTCTTCCTTTATATCTTTCACTAGGATTCTGTTTTGTAAATGAGTTTTGTTTCACTAGGATTGTGTTATGCATGGATTGTTGAATGGTGAAGTCTGAGCACATTCTCTTTCATGTCTTTTATTCTTTTTCCCTGGCCAATATTTAGTGTTTTGGGCCTTAAGCAAAAGAACCTAAAGATTTTAAATGCTCAGATTTTTCCATATTTGAGCATTTGATAGGCCTCTGTAGAAATACCCGTAATTAGCATTGATGTGTCCTTATTATTGGGGGCTAATTGGAAATATTGCTTTCATGTTTATTATCTCTGTAATACACATAAATTGCTTTACCCTCTCAATTGCCCCTTAATTCCATCTGCATAGCATGATTGGGATTACCAGTCCACCAGCCGAGCTGGCGTCGTTTTAAGCTTTTCCAGCCGAGCTAAAAACTCTCGAACTTTTAAGCCGAGCTAATTTTACTCCGGGCTCCATTTTGCCCGGTCAACTAGTCTTTGCTTGTTTGGCCACTTTTGTATGTTCTTAATTTTGAGAAATCCAAAATATTTATTGTGTGCGCTACTAATATTGATATTATATTTTTAACAATGATTCATCCTTCTTTTCCCCCCACCCCCTTTGAGCCCCTCTCTCTCTCATTAGTTACATTTTTTTTTCTTTTTTTTCCTGCTCCTCTAATCACCACCTGCCACGTGGCAAAGGGGGGGTGAGGGGGTGACTCCCAAAAGGGGGTCCCAAGCATTATTCTTTTAAATAAGTTGAAGAATGCGATCTCAATCTTTTTTCTTTTTTCTTTTTTTCTAACAAAAGACTGAATTCCAATAAATATTTCGGTATATACTACAAGCACCACTGATACCTCAACCATTCTCCACTACTCTTAAATGCCACAAACTTTACCCACCAATTTTCACTTAAAGGTCACACGTATTGATGGCACTTGACTCCTCTACAACTCGGATCCTTCAACCACCTCTTTATCAAGAAACCTAGCCTCTTGCTAACAAATTATTTATTCTGCTTTTGGTCTGCGCACTAGCAACTGATTAAAAGATAAAAAAAAAAAAAAAAAGGCACAAAAAGAAAAGGAAATCATCAATTTTAATTAAGAATTAAACTAAAATCTGATTGATGAAGTTGTTTGTTTTTTGCCAGAGTTGAAGATGCTCCTACATTAGCCAGGCATTGCTATATCTATCACATATATAGTCATTTTCCTTATTCACATGCTTGCCAATTGAGCCTGACACATGGTGTTTCCATAAGAGAAATTGTCATTTTATGGTGTTACCATAAGAGTAATTGTCATTTTATGTTTATCTTGATGCTTTATTTCATAATTGATCAGCTGAATTAGTTTTGCACAAACATATGTGTTCTAAATTGTGGTCAATTGTTTATTTTTTTGCCTAATAGTTTATTTTTTTGGTATTTATTTGTTTGCTATCATTTGAATAACCATGTATTTACTTGACGTGAATTTGCTTTCATCATCAGTTGATAAAGAAAAGCTCCCAAGGAAGATTTTGAAGCTCAATCCTACTACCTATGAGTCTCAAAAGTACCTCTCTTCTCTCATTTTGGAATTCCCTGTTTCTTTGTTTTTTTTTTTCCCTTGGTTTATTTTCACTCACATACACCAACACAAAAACAAACGTTTGATAATTTTGTGATGAGTTGATTTTCTTTCAATTTATTTTTTCGTTTACTTTTTTAATGTAAACTTCATGCTATTTATTGATTGTTTTGCTCATTATTTTATTTATTTATTTTATTTTTTTTAAAGCTCGGGTCATAGAAGAGTAACATCCATAAAGTAAGCACACTGTATGATTACTGGGTCCATGAGAATATCTTTGTTTTTTTTTTAATGAGTACATCTAACCATAAAAGGGTGGAGGAATTCTATTCCTCCCATGTTTATGCTTCCATTCACCTAGCTATGTTTATTGGGTCCATGAGAATATCTTTGTTAAAATTTTATTGGATAGTGGATAATGACATATGCAGAGTTATTATTTTGGTTACTAATTCTTTGTTATTTGGTTATTGTTCGGTTAAGGGATTTTACTAATTCTTTTTTTGTTTTTTTTTTCCCTCAAGGTTGGTGCTGATGGTACTTGAGGTCTACAAATGGCACTGTTTTGTGGTTTGGTTTACTCATCTAAATTTGATTATTTTATTTTTAGTTTAATAGTGATTACTAAAAATTTATGTTTGTTTCATCCGAGATGGTCCTAGAACAATTTGTGATCAATGTAACTTTTGATTTGAATTCTTTATTGTATTTTCACAGGTTATCTTGAACCAATCAAAAGTTTCATGTAATGATTTTTCTATGGTTTTTTGATATACTATTTAGGGCTATATTTGTTTGGGTATGCTACATAATTTCTCTTAAAAGTTTACGAAAAATCATCTAGC